TCCCTCCGATATCTCGTTCGGGATCCGATGTTTGCAGAAACACAACGACGATCCCCGCTAGGACAACTGCAGAGATGGTGACGAACTTGGTCACGACAAAAAAATTGTTGAGCCGAGTGCTGGCCTTGGTGCTGATCGAATTCGCGGTACTGATCGCAGCAAGGATAAGGATGGACCCGAGCTTATGCGAAATGCTGTCCCCCTGGCCTGTGACACCAACCGCTGAATAGACGCTCTCGACAAACACGATGCTGAGAATGGCCAGCGTAGCAGGCATAACGGCGATGATCCACGTCCACGCCGCAAGGAAGCCGAAGACATCCCCGAACATGTACTTGAGGTACGGCTGGATACCCCCTGTAATTATCAAAGGAGGTTAGCTGAGGTTCGAGTCAACGCAGGAGTATCGGTCCGACTTTACCTTCGCCGGGAATCGCAGTGCCCAACTCAGCCATTGTCATGGCACCAGACCAAGCCAGTGTCCCTCCGACGAGCCAAATGAAAAGCGCAGCGCCAGGGGAGGGTACATTGGTGTCGATGGCGCCAGGGGAGGTAAACACGCCGCTGCCGATGACGATGTTGATGATGATGGCGAAGGTTTCGAGGGCGCCAAGATTGCGTGTAAACGCGCCGACACTGGTGATAATCCCACGCTCCTGGTTTCCTCCAGAATCGCCGTTTGGCGCCGTACGCCAGCCGTCGACGGTGACCTGTGGTGGCGGGAGGGCTATCCGGATGGGAGAGCCCAATAGCGGCTGCTGCTCGGCAGCGCCAGCGGATCTCGACTCGGTGGGGGCCATAATCTTTTGCAGGCCGCTGTGTCCTATGTGTAGGTTGTGGCCGCCCCTCAATGTTGTCTTCTTCTGGGGCGTTGCGGGTGGCGTGAAGACTGGAGGGAAGAAGGTGATGGACGATGTGAACTTCTCCATCCTCCCCGTGACCATAGTGGCAAAAGCGGCCATTGGGATTGGGCAATCGAGCGCCCCTGGCCCCGCCCACGCAGCGCCTCTTACGCTAGCACGCAATTTCAGGGGTCTGTCTCCAACTTTTCCAAGCCCCGAGGAGGGGATACGATTGGTGGTCCCCTTTTTCGGTTGCAGCTCATGCAGGTACCTAAGATGTCGGCTGAATGTCAAATGTGTCTGGTGTCTTGGTGTGGGGAGGTTGTGGTTGCTCTTCCGCCAGATCAACTTTAGACGTGCGTGTCAATGGGATGATGCTAGTTGTGGAGACAAAATTTCAAAGAGCGGATCACCAAGACGCGAAATCATTTCACCGCAAGTTCCGATCGAATGGGCATCCAAACCAGGTGGGTCGGGAAGGGAATTGCAAAGTGACGATTTCTTCGCAGACAACCGCGTGCTTTCGACCGATCAAGGCAAAAATGTGGGTGGTGCTGCAACTCCGATTTCAGCCCTGGTTCGGTGGCTTTCACAATCTGGCATGAAAACAAGCCGTAATTATGATGCATCGCCAGCTTCAAACTCTTTCCGATTTGGCACAAAGGGAGGACTACTATATACCAGCGTTGGCAGGCCAACTTCTTTCTTAGGAATTTTGTTGTTAGTGACCGTCCCTTCATCAGTGAAGCCAAGGGCGGGATCGATAAGATTCACTCATGGAAGGTCACCTACCTCACACTGGTTGAAGAAGGACCCCCAAGGGTGGAAATTGAATTGGGAAGGGTGATGTTAGACATGACTTGGTCAGTTGAACTTGGAGGTAGGAATCGATTATCTGGGCAATGTCGGCCTGGACAAAGTCCTCTGCATCACGTTACATTCTGTGCTCTTTGGCTTGCACGGAAGGAGACCAACGTAGGGCAAGCCGCGAGGCAAACTTGCTCCTCCTTCACAACGCGCTTTGTAAGGGGTGCTGTCAGGTTTGGCTCATGTAAAGCCATCGCCCAGGTCTTATCGTAACATTCGTGCTGTGACACTGCTTCCATGTGCCTGATCTTCCGGGTAGATTCTTTCCTTTAGAATCAGTAAATTTTGGTACATATAGCCACAGGGAAAGAGCAGGACCAACAGATCGACGATCGAAGACCATCTCAGCCGATCCTCGCATCGTTCAGGATGCAGCAGCCTTCGTGTGGGCCATTGGATTGCCAACCCAACTTCCAATCTTTGCACGTAGACCACTAATGGATTTCAGCACACCGAGGGAAGAGCGAACTTGAACATACGGCTATTATTTTAATGACAATAGACTCAGTAAGACCTCTCTTGCTCCTCAGCTTAATCTGCAATTTCTTTGAACTTGAGACTGAAATGGCAACGTTTCCTCGGCAAAAAAGTACCTAGGTACCAAGGAAGATATCCAAGCCCTGCCTGCATGCTTGGACTTGCGACAGCCATTTGTTCTTTCCTATTTTAGAGCCCAGAGTATCAAACGACAACAGCCAAAAAGTGGAAACTCCCCATTCAGCCAAACCTGTTCTTCTGCTGGTCTCCCCCCCGAACTCCAACCTTTCTCTTACTTCATTCGACAGTAAGAATCTCGCAATTCTGTTCGCGCGTCACCAAAACACCAAAAGTTCAAGATGGTACGTCTTAGCTCTTCCCGTACCCCCGCAAAGCCGTCATTTCAGTCTTCGTCTTCTTCCTGTTCTTGGGGATTCCAACATCGATTGTCTACGCCGTTCTTCAAACATCACTCTCCGACACTGTTCCCTCGCAGCTTTTCCCTCCTTACCCTTTCCACCCTCAACCACGACTAAAGAGCCGCCTTCGCTTCTTCTCCGAACACTTTTGTCTTACATCTTCGCAGGGTTCGTTATTTTCGTTGCTGCTGCCGCTGCTCGTCGTCCTTTTCTCGGGTGTTTTCTTGTTTGGGTGCTTTCTTCTTTTTTTGGCTCTTATTTATACTCGTTTTCAAAAATTTCATGCTTCATGCTTCATTCTTTCATTGAAGTAAGTTTCCTTATTTACACTGGCACAGCCTATCTTTGGAGCAAGCTCGGCAGCCTTACTTGGGGTCCTGGACTCTCCGTCGTGCGGCCCGCCATTCAGCCCTCTATACTGCCCTCCATCTTTCCCTCGGCCTTGTTTATCCAGTCCCTCTTCGCGGCTATTGAGGTCGGCACTCTCCTTCTCGTGGATGAGCCGGCAGGTCAACGTTCTGCGTACGGTCAGAAGCTGACGCCGAGCAAGCTCGACAACCTGACCATCAGCCATAGCTTGGAGACTCTCACCAATGGAGTCAAGGGTTCGCAAGGCTACCATGACTTCCCGCGTCGAGCTTGTTGTCAAGAGCGATGCCTTCTGGATTCGGCCCCGCCGGCCTTAAAGGCAAAGTCCTTCTTCGCCTAGTACGCAATCGCTGGGGTCGTCCACCATCTCAAACTCTCGTCGTCTCCCTCGACTCGTGGCACTAAGATGTCATAAAGTGCAAGACTTTCACTGGGTTGGCTTCGTCTTGGTGAGCTGCCTTCATGGTTCCCATGAGTGATTATGGCTTTGGCTAACTAGGTAGCGAAATCATGCAGAAAAGGTTCGTCTCGACCGTCACGCCACAACCAGAAGCACCTTCGCCAGACGCAATTGACTAATAGCCGAGCAGATTGATCATAGATACCATAGGCCTGGGGATTGGACCACCATAACAAGGGAACTGACAGCACAAAGCGACATGTGGCGATCCGCCTGCCGAGTCTCTTTGCCTTAGTGAGTTCCTGTGACTGCTGTGTCAATTGATACACTATCCCTTTGCTAACCACATTTGCGTGCAGACAACAATAACGCATACCTCTCCGTCGTATAATTATGTCTTCCTTGGACTGTCACCGCCATTCATCAGATACTCAAACGCCCTAGAACCTGTCCGTGATCGCACCTTTGCAGCAATCCAACGCCTCGAACTTGTCACAGTGTTGAATCTGGACAAGAAATTATGCTAGTTTGGAAAATAGACATGGTGTACGGGCGGAAGAAGTGAGAGTGGAGCTGGCAAGAAGGGTCAAACTCACGTCGCACATCTCAACATCACGTGGTGGATTCGAGATCCCTCATCTGGCCTATAATAAAAGGATATGTCTCATGGTTCAGCAAGCTGGGCGTTTGGGTGCCCGTAAGTGGGCGGATTGGAGGCCAGGATGATACGAGGTGTTCATGGGGACGATGGCGGCCACGAGCGAGCATTTATGGGGGTTCTTTTTCTTCTTTGTCTTGTTCTTTCTTTCTTTACGCAAAGAATGCATTGCTTGTCTTTTTCTCAAGCCTCATATGCAGTTTATGTCTCATGCCATTCAGCACCCTTTCTCTCTTGTGACTTGTTAGCCGTCATGTACTTATTTGACATTTGAGTGTTGCTAATTACTGTCTATTGTGACTTCAGCCGTGATATCTCATATTTCTGAGGTTTCATGTAATGGCGCAGCCGGAGCTTATCATGAATATTTCAAGATGCCCTCGCAAATCACTAAAGCTAACGGCGAAAACAGGTGCCTAAGCTGCAGGTTACCAGTGAAGCCCGAGTGGCAGACGACGAGGAGGGCACCTCTTTAAGGGTTCAGTTAACTAGGATATCTCACTAGGTACCAATTGGGACTCATCATTTGTTCTCAGACTACATGCATTACGTACGGTGAGCTTACAGCAATTAGCCACTTGTTGGCTTGACATGTTATTTTTCGAAAGTTTGGTGTTGATGGTACGGAGACCCCTGAACAAACTTGAACACAAGCGCCAAGATTTCCCCCCCTTTCAAGACAGACAAGGGCGGCAAAGAGTAAAATGCCATACAAAGACGAGTCAAATGACTTCCATTCATCTGGATACTATTATTGTTTATTTTAACGTCAAATACTTCAAATGATATGATAAATAACTGTCTTGTACGTACTGGTTGAAACAGGCTTGTGGCCAGGGTTAATTCAGTGCCCAACCCCTCCGTGTGCAAAAACATGCGCGTGCACGCAAACCAATCAAAAAAAACTTTACAAGGACAAACCTACCACTGCACCCGTGAGAAGTACAAGATAATAAAAATATGAACACCGCCAGCGGCGAGACTCGAACTCGCAACATTCAGATTAAAAGTCTGACGCGCTGACCAATTGCGCCACGCCGGCGTTCTCTGTTTTCTGCTTGTTTGCTTTGTTCGTAAAGAAAGGGTTTTTCTTTATGTTGGTTGGGTGGTTTGGTTGAGAGAAAAAGAAAACGCCGCAAAAACGGAGTCAACTTTGTTATACTCCTCTCTTTGCCTCTTGAAGGTGGAAATTTTTTCTTGCCCCTGGAAAAGGGTTCCACGGCCGCAAGAAACATTGTTTTGCGTTGGTTGGGGGAGCTCGTTTCCCCACCGATGTGCCGCTCCAAGAGTGGAGAATTTAGAGACCAAAAAAAAAAGAAGGTGGGGGGACGAGGGGAGACAGGGGGATGACGGAAGGGTTCACAAAAGAAAGGAATCCGCCTGAAAAGGGGTCCAGCGGATATGTTAAAGAGTTTGGTGGAGTAAACAATACAAAAATACGAGGTATCACGAGAGTGGAGAGTGGCCTGATATCTTTTGCTTCGATCGCACAAAGGGAGAAAATATGCTACCATCGAAGAATTGACACAAAACGAAACGTGGCAGAAGAGGCCGTTTGGTTGGGAGGCCGTACCTGACACTCGCTGGCCACGGCCCGCGACCACTTTGTTCGTTGGCATTGACGTCAGTGAGCCGGCGCAACCACGGCCACGTGAAACGTTCAGGCCAGTTCACCTCCGAACCGAATACTGACTGGCTGACCGCAGCGGCGGGCGAGCAAAAACGGCCCCATGTCATCACAGCTGTCAGTGTCACCGGAAGTGGCAGAAGGAATTCCATTCTGAGGGCCTCCGAGAAGGCAAATCCTATTTACACAAAGTTTGTCAATGGCCATCATAGGGTAGTGTGACCTTCCGAAAAGTATCCGTGGAACCAACGCCATGGTGTCCAACTAGATCCGGTTGCTGATTCCGTTGACGGAAATTCCTCTCGTACAATCCCTGAGTCCGTTATCCCGTGGTGTTTTTGTTTTCGCCCAGAGCCGACGATGAATCCGAGTCGCGCGTAGTGGTATCCTCTTCGCAATGCCCAGAACGAATAAACGCCTTCCATTTAATGTAATGCAGCCGTACCAGGTAAAAATAAAAAATAAAAAAAAAAGTGTCGTCTCTTAGGTGAAGGAGACCCTGCGCGCTAATGTCCCGCTCTAACGCTCGTGGGAGCCGGCCGTGGATCTTGTCACAGATCCGAGTCGGAGTTGAGAAAGATCAATATAACCAAAGTCGTACTGGGGATCCAGCGATCCCGCCAAAGAAGTGTCGGGTATATGGTGCCCTTACCTCCAGTGAAGCAGCAATGCTCTGGAGGTGCATCAATATTAAGCGGCGGCGTGTTGTTCGGAAATACCAGAAACCGCTCACCCAACCTTGGCCATTCAGGCGTGTTGTTTTATTTTTTGGATCTGCTGCTGGTCGCCGTTATTTTGCTCGTAGTCATCAGGTCCCCAATGTACTTTTGAAGGAACTTGTTGTTGTTGTCGAGTTTGTCATGCTCCTCTTTGACTGCCTCGATCCGGTTGAAGAGACTGACCAGAGAATCCTGAAGTGCTTTCGCATGCCTGAATGCTTGTCAGCATGCCTTCTTCCGAATTCCTCTCCGCCCACAAAAAGAAGTCGATTGTGTGCTCACCGTTGTAACTCTTCCCTAGCCTCTTTACCTAGGTTCTCGATGTCCTCGCTGGTTCTTCGTGGGCTCATGGCTCGCACGTCGTCTGGGCCAACCTTCATCTCGATAGGCCCAACGTCCAACGAGTCGCGGGGTACAATCATGGTTCCGCTACTCTTACGACTGGGCAAACCAGGGCGAATAGGGGTCGGCGCAACGATGACCTGGTCAATGGATGACCCTGAAGACGAATCCGACCAGTCCCCGGGTCTAGTGGGTGAGCGCTCGTCCTCCATTATGAATTAGATATTGTTGTTCTTCCCGCAAAGAGACCGCGAGTTTGACGGCTATGGGGTAGGAAGGTCGATCGTGTGTGGGAAGAAGCCGTTCGATATTATGAAGAAAGCGATGTCATGAATGTGTTGAACAGATATGCTGCCCCCTCCGTCTCCTTCAACTTAGCAGGCTTGTCGTGGCCACCATGCATACGAAGCACGAGGCGATCACAGCTGCGTCGACGGGGAGCAAGAGATTGGTAGGGGCGAGAGTGTGAAAAAGACGGAAGTGGGAGATGTAGTTTAGCTGGATGTCGGTAGGGTCGTGGTGGGCGAAAGTTGGCGTGTGGGAGAGAGAGAGGGTGGCAGTTGCGACTGAGGAAACGGTTCGTGGGGTGTCCTGGGTCGGGGTTGCAAGTTTCTCCCCAGGGACAGCGTCACAGTGTAAATCGTTAACTGTCAAGGCAGGCGGCACAGCTGCGATGCGCCGGGCGACAGTCGCAGGCAAGAAAAGGCGGGATGCTCCGATCTTCTTCAGGAAATATGCAGTCGATGGATGCGATTTCTGGGGTTCGTGTCGTGTCTCGGGGAAAGTACCACGCAGGTGGGCAGAACGAATAGGGTCGGGGAGTCGGGGGTGTAGGAGGCTGGTCAGGAGGTCAGGTCGATGTCCTGTTTCTGCCGTGATCAGCAAGCTGTGCCTTGCCGACGACGAGTGTTGAGTGGTTCTGGGGGGCCTGTTGCGGTGTATGGTCACAGGAATGCCAGGGCCAGGGCCTGTTCGGGGGGGAAGAAAAGAGTATTCTGGGAAGGCTGGCTGTCGATCTGCTGGGGAGGGGGGAGGGGGGATGGAAGAGCGGGACGCGCTTACGGTTTCGGAGAGCGCCTTTTAAAGGGTCGCGAGAATCCAACGCTCGGGTTTTGGGCGATCAGGCGGGCCGGTGTCGTCGAAAGCAGCAACGTCGATGCAGTGAATGTGCGTGGCGTCAGGCCCGAACAGCGTGCTGGGATGGATGGAAAAGGGCTGAGTCGGAATCTGCGTCTTGATCTTATTTAGTAAGAAAATGAGGGCTGAAGGCAGGCGGCGCTCGTCGGTCGCGTGGCACATAATTGTGTCTCGCCCAGGCTCAGCGCATGGTTTAGCGTTTTGCTGGGCGTCAGGCCTGAAAAGGTTTAGACCGAATGCGGCTTGGTGTCGATCGCCCACCTATGACGCTATGGCTGGCGGGCTTGATTGGCTTATGCTAGAGGGCCTGCGCCCGCAATTGGCAGGGGTCGTCTGTGCCACGCAATGATGAAATGGCTGAAATCAGGCGGGTCCTTGGGTCCCCAACTCTCAAATCCCATTCTCATCCCCAGGTGGCCGAGGATGGGAAATGTGCAATACACGTGTAGATGCCATTCTCATCCTGCCGCCGAGTTTGCCTGCTGCATTCGCGTTTCAGTGGCAGACCCACCAAAAGCCAGCTGTGACACTGCTCGAACCACAGGAACAATGACACATAACACTATCTGGAATGCACTCCCATGGCTCCTGCCTGATAATAATCGCTTTGTTTGGTGGCAGCGCTGACGACGATGGCGCCCACAGCGGGAACGGTTGCCACTGGAGACTCTCTTCATCAAGGTTCCAGGTTCAGGTTGTCTTTTCTCGCCTCGGACAGCACTTGACGCACTCGCTGGCAGGCAACTGTGAAGAGGAGCGGTGTCATGTTGGCAGGAGCAAGCTGCTGCTTGTATTGGAAGCCCCCGAGTTCCCTGTTTTGGACTGCCAGCGCCAATCCGACCCCACCCCCACTTCCATATCTGCACTGTGCGGGTACAGCACGTACATACGGATGTGTATCCGTATGCACAATCAATCCATCCTGGTGTTCCTGAACTGTTCTTCACCTGATGGAAGAGAGACAGGCAGGTCGCACAGCAGTCCAGAATCGGGAAAATTGCGGCGGCTGTCCGTCGGCTCAAAACGCCAATTTCGGCACTCGAAAGTGAGGGCTACCACCGGGACTTGTGGAAGGTGAGGTGAGGTGAAAGCTCGCGCTCTTGCGGCAGTCGGGGCTGTGAGGTGAGGAAGGATTTGTCGATTATGTCACGATCGGCAACCCAACCTTCGCATTATTCACCGTGTGGTCTTCGCCCCCATTGCCATTCAACTTTAACCTCCGTGGGTGGTCAGAGCCGGCAGTGTTTTTGCCTTCCGCAAAACCTACAGCCGAGCCACAACGGCCACAGTGGACCACGGACCGTCGAATAGTACACGTCGGCGAGCTTTCCGCCAGCCAATTAGGCCCTCCAAGTCGCACATGGGGTCCAGTGACATGATGATGGCCAGCCAGATCAAGCAGCCCACAGTCCAACAACAGCAACCATCCGCCCCTCCTTTTGCAATTCGCTGACTCTGTTGCTACGGCTGCCTAACAAGCTCGCGTAGCACAGACGGTTGGAAAATCCCACCCCACTTGTCAGAAGAGCTCACCGAACTCATTTTCAGTACGACAGCAAGGATTTCATCAAAACGAGACTATTCCCAGTTTCTGTCCCGTCTCCGGGCGAGTACGTGGGTTCTGTGCTGTGATGTGCTGTGCCGGTTCCACTTGCCAACGACGACAGCCGTGTCTGTGGCGAGTCCTGCGTACAGGATCCTTACCAAGGATCGCATGTCCGCAGTTGAAGGCTCTCACGAGAGAAGCACAGAATCTCACGGCCGGCCATTTAGTCGCACTGTGGTGAAACTGTCGATCACCTCTTTCCGGCCGACCATCCCGGCCCAATGTCCGCTCAGCAAATCCACAGCCGACTCGGACCACACAGATCAGCCTACCGTTTTCTCCGCCAGAAAAAAATAAACGATGTGGTTACACCGTGTGACCTGCCGCTTCGTTTTAGCTGCTCCGCCCGTTGATTTGCTGGAAGTCTGGAAAATGTGCGAATAACGTCAGTCTAGCGGTGGACCAAGCGCTTTTCATCTCTCTCTACGTAGCGGAACATGAGCGACCAGCCTACCCCTCACGATGTACATGTCGATCATCCGCCCTTGGAGCCATCAACTGAAAAAAACCTCTGCATAAATATCACTTAAAACCATTATTATGAGAGAATGTTACGTTTTCCAAACCCTCATGGCCTCACACACGCCCTTCCTCATATACTCTACAACATG